GCCAGGCCAGCTCCCTGACTGGTCCCCAGCACATGCCTCAGTTATTAGAAGAAAGGCTACTTTCTCCTGGTGCTAGTCTTTATACTCTGCTGTCACGTAGGGACATCTCCAGCCACAGAATGCCACCTTTGAACTTCTCTTGGAGGACTCAGGCCACAGTGCTTGTGAGCCCCAGACCCTAGTGCTGGGCACATGCCAAGCACCCCAAGTGACCTCGGTGTGGCCCCTTCATTGGAAGTGAAGGAGAAGCACCCCCTCCACCATGATAGGGCGAAGGGACAGGGTGCCACAGCATAGCTCCCTCCAGGAGGGTCCCTTTTACAGGCGGGGTTAGGTGATGTGTCCTGACTTTAGGATCTGAGGGACACTTGACACTTTTTGCAGTGTTCTCTGTCCTTATGGTCTCATCTAAAACTGAGAAAGGAAGAGCTCAATTTTAGGATTCTATGTTAGCATTATTATTGTAATCAGCATCTAGCATCCTATAGGAAAAGATACACATGAGCTGGAAATTTGTTGACTAGTTTCAGCCCCATGATTTACTGTTCACTCACAGGCAAATGAGTTGGCTTCTTTCAGCCTTAGTTTCCTCGTCTGTAAATTGGAGTTAATACCACTTGCTCTGTCTGAGGTCCAATGAGATAATGTATGCAGAGGCTCTTGTAGTAATGTAAGCTAAAGAGAACCTTTACATGTGATGAATTCAAGGATGAAGCTCTCCTTGGCTAGAGTCTTGCAATTGGTTGTCTGGTTATGCAATGGTTAATAAATACTAGTTTGTGTTTTGCATTTTGTTGGCAGATACAATTTTTCTCAAAAATAAAACATTTGGAGTCACTTTTTATAATGTAAAAATAACAAGGAGTGCTCTGTTGGCCTAGGTGGTTCATAAAAAGACTCCAATAACTTATAGGGTTGCCAGATTTCGCAAATAAAAAACCAGGATGCTCAGTTAAATTTTAATCGGGTTGCCAGATTTCGCAAATAAAAAACCAGGATGCTCAGTTAAATTTTAATCAGATAAGCAACAAATAATTTATAGTTTAAGTCTACCCTGTATATTGCATAGGATTTTATCTGGCAACTCCACTAATAAATATTAATATCAGTAAACTGTGAGCAGAAATTGTTATCTAACTTATTTTTTTATTTTATTTCCAGATCCTAGCGCAATGCTTGACCCATAGCAAGTGCTTAATACATGATTCTGGAATAAAACAATCATTAGAATATTTGGAAAGGGTTGCCCATGTGACATATTGCTCTTATTAACTCTTTTCAACTTTAGTTTCTTCATCTGGTAAGCTAAGATAATAGTAACTGCCTCACAGATTAAAGGAAGGATAACACTGAGTTGGGTATACGAGCATTCATTATAGATTGTTAGAGCAATCCACAGGTGTGCTACAAATATGCTATAAATTCCACAAGGAGTAGAGCTGCTGAGTGTGGTATGTTCAGTGTAGCCTCCACAATAAAGAGTAGAAAGTAAGTTTCAAAACATTTTAGTTAGATCTGCATGTTTAGTAAGTAAATTCAATGTACTAAAAACAGTTCCTGTTCCTATTTCTACCCGAAGGAGGCAGCGCCCATTGTTTAAGCTTGGATGGGTTTCTGCAGGGAGTTAAACCTGCCTAACTCCTACTGGTTCCTCCGCTATCTTAGTGTCTCAGCTATCTAATTTGGTGACTGTGAAGCAACCATTGAGGTTTGCTGTGGCACCTCTGGGTAATTTTCTTGAAGCATCTGTTAAAGGCATGTACAACATACTCCAACAAATCAACAGTAAGAAAGTAAAAGCTGTTCTACTTCACCGGGGGTAGCCAGGAAGCTATGAGTTAAGGCTCCATTTTTTTCTTGCTCTGCTAACATTTTCACATGCTGTTGAAGTAGTGAGTGGTTTTTAGGTGCCATATGTGTTGGCGTAATTACATACACTGGCATAAATTGTTTGATGCAATTTCTCAGACTTATTTAAATTTGTTCTCAGAAATCAAAACAGCTCATTAGCTTCCAAGAATACGTTTGTAACTCCTGGAAAATAATTTCTTGTGGCATTTCAAGTTTGGCATATTAAGCTACCATCTTTGAGGTCTTCCCAATTTTCAGTTTCACAGACGCTTATTTATTAAACATCTACCTCCTTTCCTGGCTCCAAATCAACCTCATCTCTAAATGTTGGAGGCCTCGGAGCTCAGTGCTAATTTCCCTTGGAGTTCCCTGTGTTAGCTGTTCTCACCAAAACCTGTGACTGTAAAACATCTCTCAGCTGACGATTCCTATACTTCTCCAGCCTGGTGTTATCAGGCTGTGCAATCCAACAGCCTTTCTGACATCCACTCTCCGATGTCTTGTGTATTTCTCAAACTTAACACATCTGACAGTCTCCTTCCCACCCCTCTCCATACTGCAGTGGGTCCTCCCTCCCCCTTCACCATATTTATTCATTCTCCATTGTCCAGTAAAGGACACCAATATCCACCCAGTTGCAAAGCCAGACATCTTGGCTTGGATTGGATAATCCACCACCAAATCTTGTCAGGCCTGTCTCCAAAGCTGTTTCAGCTCTAGCTACTTGTCTTCATGTCCACTTCAGCACTCTATCGGAGTCCACCTCTTACCTGAGCTCTCCCCTCCATCCTGCCCATTCTCCACACAGTTACCCCAGTAATCTTTTAAAACTACAAATAAGGCCAGAAGACTTTCCTGCTTTAAATTATACTTAGGGAGAAAAAAACCTCCAAACCTCATGCTGTACCCTAAAGAAGTATCTGGCCCCTGCCTGCCTTTCCAGTTTTATCTCACACCTGTGAAATCCCCACTCACTGACTGCATTCCAGCCACAGGGAGATTTATTTTTTTCCAGTGAATGATGTTGTGGCCATCTGCCACAGGACCTTTGTACATGCTTCCCTGTCTGTGGGATAGCCGTCTTCCACCCACTACACTCCTTCTTGCCATTCATATCTCTCAGCGCAAATGTCACTGCCATGCCCTCAAATGTAAGTATCACAAAGATAGGAACCTTACCTACATTTGTTTACTGATGTATCCCCATAACCTAGTACAGGGCTGGCACATATTAAACACTCAAATTTTGTAGAATGAATAAAAGAATAAAGGAAGGAAGGAATGAACCCTAGATAAGGCCATGTCGTTCTGCTATACATCCTCATAGCATCATTTCCTTGCTTTCAACCACACTTATCTCAGCCTACATTTTATTCGTGAGATATTTGGGCAGTTTCACTTGTCTCTGTAAGTTCTATGAGGGCAGGGATCCTGTCTGGTTTGCTTCCCATTTTGTCCCCAGAACCTAGCACATTCCTTAGCACAAGGTGGGTGCTCAGTACATTGTCGGTTGTGGTGGTTCTGCTAAATTCTTGGTCCTTCCGTTACTCAGCAGCTTTGACACAGCTGACCACCCCACTCCACTTAAGCACGCCCTTCTTCCACGTCTGGGCTCCAGCTGTCCTGCTCCCCCTTCTTTGGGCCCGTATTTCTCATTCTCATATGTGGGCTCCTTTTCTGCTCTTTGTGCCTTAAAGTTAGTGGTAGATTCATATACAGAACACTGCTCCGCAACAGAAAGGAACTATGGATACACACAACCACATGGATGCATCTCAAGAACATTATACTGAGCGAAGAAAGCCAACCTCAAAATGCCATATACTGCATGATTGCATTTATGTAACATTTTCAAAATGACATATAGTGATGGTGAACAGACAGGTGGTTGCCAGGTCTGGGGACAGTGGAGGGTGGTTATTGACTAACTTGGGAAAGCATGAGAGAGTTTTCTGGGGGTGATGAAACTGTTCTGTATCCTGATTGTGGTCATGGTTTCACAAACCTATATGTGTGGTGAGATGCTGGGGTAAGGGTGTATGGGAAGCCTCTTTTATGTAAGTGTAAAATTATTTCAAAATAAAACCTTTTTTTAAAGTTAGTATTCTTACACACCATGTGTCGTCAGGGAAATACCAATTGAAACAGCAATGAGATACCACTACACACCAAAATCCAGAACACTGACAACACCAAATGCTGGTGAGGATGTGGAGCAACAGGAACTCTCATTCACTGCAGTGGGAATGCAAAATAGTATAGCACCTTTGGAAGATAGTTTGACAGTTTCTTACAAGACCAAATATACTCTTACCATATGATCCAGCAATCTGCCTCCTTGGTGTTCACTTGAAGGATCTGAAAACTTATGTCCACACAAAAACCTGCACACAGATGGTCATAGCAGCTTTTTTCATAACTGCCAAAACTTGGAAGCAACCAAGATGCTTTCCAGTAGGTGAATGGATACATAAACTGTGGAACATCCATACAATGGAATATAAATAAATACATTATAAATAAATATTCAGTGCTAAATAAAATGAACTATCAAGTTATGGCACAACATAGAGGAAACTGAATCGCATATTACTAAGTGTAGATTGCCATTCTTAAAAAGCCAAATACTGTATGAGTCCAACCATACCACATTCTAGAAAAGGCAAAACTGTGAAGACAGTAAAAAGGATGGGCTGTTGCCAGGGGTTGAGGAAGGAGGGATGAATGAATAGGCAGAGCACAGAGGATTTTTAGGGCAGTAAAACTACTCTGGATGATATTATAATGGTGGATATACATTTCTCAAAAGAGAAGTATACATTTCTCATTTCATTATGCATTTCTCAAAAGCCCATAGATTGTACAATACCCAGAGTGAGCCCTAATGTAAACTATGGACTTTGGGTGATAATAGTGTGTCAGTGTAGGTTCATTAGCTATAACAAATAGACCACACTAGTGGCAGGAGTTGATAATGGGGGAGGCTCTGCATGTGTGGGGAGCAGGGAGTACAAGGGAAATCTCTGTACCTTCTGCTCAATTTTGCTGTGAAGCTAAAGCTGCTCTAAAAAATATGGTCCACTTAAAAAAAAAAACAACCCAAAACTAGTATTCCTCAGGGCTCTGTCAAATCCTGCTTTTCTTTATCTCCGATAAGCTCTCCCTGGGACTCCTCATCTGCTGTGGCTATAACCCCTCACTCATGCTCATGAGCTCTGTCCCCCCTGCCTGGCTGCCTGGGTTCCCATCTTAAGTGTCCACATGCATCGCAGCTATGCAGATCTATTTGTGTTGGTCTTGAGTAAATTGATGCACATATAGTGATAATTTCTGTGATCATTAAATGAGAACACTCAGTTTATTTTCTATTTTATGGAGTCATTTTAATCTGGAAGTTTTTATATGGTACAAATAAATCACCCTTCATCAAGTCAGAATGCATACCCTGGCGTTGGTCTTCCAACGTGAATTGTGCACTGCACTCAACATTTTTCTGGAAGATTTTATTGCATTTTCTTCCTTCTGGTTGCACCATGAAAATACTGTGCCTTTGTTACATTTACATATTTGTGTGTGTGTGTGTCTTTAGAAAGGGAATGCTTCAGTCTAACAACTCTGCTGCACTTTAAGTGGGAAAAAGTCTTGATTTGTCCCTTTCATTTTTCATAATTTTCCACTGTGCCTAACAGTTTATTAAAAGAAAAAATTTTAGTGGAGGTCAAACGTTGTTTAAATGTGTGGCAAATGGTTTCCCAGGGAAACAGCAAATTAGTACTTGTAGCTTTCAGCAGCATCTCAGAACAGCATGTAGACATCAGCCCTAGGAGAGTGTCTGCTGGAGAACAGGAGGCTCTAAACGAAGTCAGAGGAAGCACCGAGAACAGGCGAGCCATTTCAGAAGATGAAGAAACATTCTGCAAGAGTGGTGCCTTTAACATCCTACAGTGTCTCTGAACGAAACTCACCTGGTTCCGATGGTAAATGCTGTTTTACTGGGTTCTTGCCCTTCGTGAGGCTGGGTTTATGTTCCATGTGCTCACTGCTACCATCGCTGGGTTTATTCTCAGAAGAAATCAATGAAATGTAGCTGAAATGACCTGCTGCCAGAATATGACTTTTACTTATATAATTTGTAGCCTGGAGATGAAAATTACTTTAAGGAAATTTGTCAGATTCCCCCAAAGCAAAAAGATTTTAAAAGTTGTTTAGATTTGAACAATTTAGGTATCAGTTTATTTGGAGCCTGAACTTTCTTATTATTACATTTAAGAGGTCTCTGTGTCTTTTGACTTCTCTAATATTTCGGTAATATATTTAGCTGCTGTACTCCAACAATGTATGCAGATAAGGAAAAGATACAAAGAATTCTATATGAATCCAGCATTTGAAGGAAAAAAGGAATTGAATAAAACATGTGTTTTTCTACATAGTTGAGTTGAGATCCTTATCAGCCTAAGGTACATTCCCAGTGACCTGGAGTTGAGTCAAATTTTAAAGACTAAAGGGGGAAACGACAGCATTAAGATGAAACTGTCAGTCTTCTTGACTCAGAGATGTGGACTAATTAACATTAAATCTTATAAACTAATACAATAAAGGTATTTTTTTTAAAGGAAAGGGATTAGAATTCTCTCTCTTCAACAACATTGTCTCTTATAAGTTTAAACATCAGGTTTGTAAATAGATAACATCTTTATTTAGAAAGGAAATAATTTAGAAGTACTTTTAATGTGAGTGGCTTTATGAATATTGTATTCAAGAATGAGTATTAAGGTCATTTCTATTATATTATTCCTTGGGTTAATCTGAGAGACTATATTTTACTTGGATTTTTGTGATGAATAACAATAAAACAAGCCAATTAGCCAAAAAAACTCAGCAAAGCTATGTGAAGTTTTAACTAAATAATGCCTCTTTTTAAAAAAAGCAGCTGTATTATTTAAAGTAGGCAAACTTACATAAAAGTTAGCTAACAAAGTTTTTCTTAGATCTGGTCTAAGGAATAAATGTTATTGCTAGATGGCATATTAACCACTGGTATTTAATATACAGATGAATACTTGAGAAGGTTAAGCATTCTTCCTCAATCTCGTTTCTTTACGCTAAAAGTATTTTCTAGACTCACTTTTGAGACTGCAAAGCTAAACTCCAATCTAGGCTATGTCCAAATGATCAAAAAATGTAAAATACTTGTATCCCAAATAATAGGGTTTTATGCCCCTCTTTTATTATATATGCAAAGATAAAACCCTCAGTATCAGTTGTGGTTGTCTTTTTTCATGACAATTTTTTTTAATTTCAAAATATTAAAGGGATATATGTTTAGAATACATAGATTGCTTTTGTAATGCTTGAGTCCTGGCTATATGTGTGCCCATCAGCCAAATAGTGTTCATAGTACCCATTAGTCTGGTTTATTCCCCTATACTCCTCCTCTTCCTCCCCCAGCCCCCGTTAATTTCCACTTAGTTTTACTTCCCTTTGTGCACTTGTGTGCTCATTGGTTAGTTCCAATTTAATAGCAAGTACATGTGGTGTTTGTTTTTCCATTCTTTAGATCCTTCACTTAGGATAATGGTCTTCAGTTCCATCCAGATTGTTGCAAAAGGCATTAAGTCATTCTTCATTGCTCGTAGTATTCCATGGTGTACATATACCAAATTTTATTAATCCATTCATGGATTGATGGGCACTTAGGTTGATTCCACATCAACCTAAGTTGTGGAATTAGTGCTGCGATAAACATTTGAGTGCAGGTGTCTTTTTGATAAAATTACTTCTTTTCCTTTGGGTAAATACCTAATCTAGGTAAACCCATGATTGCTGGATCCAATGGTAGGTCTATTTTTATTTCTTTGAGGAATCTCCTTATTATTTCTCATAGAGGTTGTATTAATTTGCAATCCCACCAACAGTGTAAGGCATTCCTTTCACTTTGCATCCATACCAGCATCTATTGTTTTTGGACTTTTTAATGAAAGCCATTCTGAGTAGGGTAAGGTGATTATCTCATTGTGGTTTTAATTTGCATTTCCCTGATGATTAGTGACATTGAGCATTTTTTCATGTGTTTCTTGGTCATTTATCTTTCATCTTTTGAAAAACATCTGTTCATGTCTTTTGTTCACTTTTTTATAGGGTTGTTTGTTTCTTTCTTATTTGCTTGAGTTCTTTGTAATTCTGGTTATTAGCCCTTTATCAGATCTGTAACTTGTGAATATTTTCTCCCATTCTGTAGGTTGTCCATTTGCTCTGTTAATTGTTTCCTTAGTTGTACAGAAGATTTTTAGTTTAACACAATCCCATTTATTTATTTTTGTTGTTACCATGATTGCCACTGAAGTCTTAGTCATAAATTCTTTGCCTAGGCCAATGTCTAGAAGAGTTTTCCTACCTTTTCCTCTAGAATTCACATGATTTCATGCCCAAGGTCTAAGTCTTTTATCCATCTCAAATTAATTTTTGTGAATGGTGAGATGTAGTGGTCCTGTTTCATTCTTCTGCATGTGGCTATCCGATTTTCCCAGCACTGTTTATTAAATAGGATTTATTTTCTCCAGTGTATGTTGTTGTCTGCTTTCTCAAAGATCAGTTGGTTATAGGTAGATGGTTTTATATCTGGGTTCTCTGTTCTGTTTCATTGGTCTATGTCTCTATTTTTGTACCAATACCATGCTGTTTTAGTTACTTGTAGTATAGTTTGAAGTCTGGTAATGTAATGACACCAGATTTGTTCTTTTTGCTTAAGATTGCTTGAGCTATGTGGGCTCTGTTCTGGTTCCAAATGAAATGTACAATTATTTTTTCTAGATCTGTGAAGTATGACTTTGGTAATCTGATGGGTATTGCTTTGAATTTGTAAGTCACTTTGGGTACTATGGACATTTTAACAATGTTGGTTCTGTCTATCCATGAGCATGATATGTTTTTCCATTTGTTTGTAGCCTCTGAGATTTCTTTCCTCAGAGTTTCATAGTTCTCCTTGTAGAGTGCTTTCACATCCTCAGTTAAGTATTTTCCCAGTTATTTTATTTTCTTTGTAGCTATTGTGAAGGGTATTGAGTCTTTGATTTGACTCTTGGCCTGACTGCTATTGGTATATAGAAATGCTACTTATTTATGTACATTGATTTTGTATCCTGAGACTTTGCTGAATTTATTTATCAATTCCAGGAGACTCTTCGTGGAATAGTTGGGGTTTTCTAGATACAAGATCATATCATCAACAAAGAGTGATAGTTTGACCTCTTTTTTTCCTGATTTGGGTACCCTTAATCATATTCTTCTCTTGTCTGATTTCTATGGCTAGGACTTCCAACTCTATGTTGAACAGAACTGGTGACAGTGGGCATCCTTTTTTTATTACAGTTGGTAAGGGAATGCTTTCAACTTTTCCCCACTCGGTATGATAAGTTTGTCATATATGGCTTTTATAATTCTGAGATACATTCCTTTGATGCCTAGTTTGTTGACAGTTTTTATCATGAAAGGGTGCTGGATTTTATTGAATGCTTTTCTGTATGTATTGAGATGATCATTTGGTCTTTGTTTTTACTTTTGTTTCTATGATGAGTCATATTTATTGATTTATGTATTTTGAATCATCCTTGCATTTATGGGATGAAGCCCACTTGGTCCTGTTGGATTATTTTTTTTGATATGCTGTTGAATTTGGTTTGCTAGTATTTTATTGGGGAGTTTTGCATCTGTATTCATAAGGGATATTATTCTGTAGTTTTCTCTTTGTGTGTCCTTTCATGGCTTTAGTATCAAGGTGATACTGGCTTCATAGAATGAGTTGGGGATATCTTCTCAATATTATGTAATAATTTCTGTTTTATGCATACCAGGTCTTCTTTGTAGGTCTGATAGAATTTGGCTGTGAATATATCTGGTCCAGGGCTTTTTTGTTGTTGCTGTTGTTGGGAAGTTTTTATTACAGTTTCAATCTCACTGTTTGTTATTTGTCTGTTCAGGAGTTCTATTTCTTTCTGGTTGTGTCTTGGTATCCCCATCTTAAAACAAATTATAGGACCTGAAGTTGTCCATTACTTATAGTTGGCAAGGCTGGAAAATTAAACAGACTTTTTCCACCTGTGAATTTTACATATAAAACCATATATTGCATCTGCCCTTGGATGTACTTATGAATTTCATTTGTTACTGTAGTCTAGGAAAGAGAAAAATTAGGAACATTTGAGGACTGTAGTGTCACATTGTCTATTCTGTTTAGCCAGGAACCCACATACAGAGCTACGATTAAAACCTCACATTTTTCTAAAGAAATTTTTCAAAGAGGAAAATTCTACACACCTTCCTAGGAACACCACTCTACTGATTATCAAACCTTACTGTTTTAAATTTCTTCCTTAAGTTAGCTTTATGTTAACCAAAATTTTTATTACCACACTTTGATGTTCTTGCTTTGAGAATATAGTCAGTTTGAATATGATTAATTATACCTCCATTTCCTAATTCACAAGTGAATAATTCATGTTTCTGATATTTTGAACTAGAGAATTTCTAAAGTTCTATCCAACTCTAATGGTCCTTTTAGCACTTGCTACATATTATGGAGTGCTGGTTCTTGGACTTTTGGGGAACAAGGATTCCCTGTTGAGTATATAATTAAAATTACAGAACACCTCCTCAGTTACATAATAACATAATTTTAATGTAATTTCACAATATTTGGGGACCTTATGAAGTTCCCAGATATCCCTGGACCCCCGGTAAATAGTCTCAACTAGAACACATACATCTTTCCATTTGTGACTTGTAAAAAGTAAAGGCATTGCTGATACACTATTCATGACTGGATTCTTTAAGTTAAATGTATGAGGTCTTTTAACATTTTGTTTTAAAATCTTGGTCATGTGATCAATTTGTTTTACTCATGTACTACTAATAAATTATAATGTATGAAATACTTAGGGCTATTTTTAAAATCTTCTCTTGGATCCCACTTTGTATGATT